AAAGTAAAACACCCAAGCAGAGGTGTTAGGTACAGCAATTGGTAGGGAACCCTTGGGTGAACTCCTTAAATAGGTAATATAGAAAAGTTACATGTATAACCAATTGTACTCTTTCTTGTAGTAGTTCATTAAACCACAATACTGATAAGTAATTAATAAAAGTCAAAAGACCAAAAATGTCACCTTAATACTAAAAAAAATATATATATTTTATGTTAATAAATTTAGCTTGTTGATAAAACAAGCTTGTTAGTAAATTAATTGTTAATAAATTAATTATCTGTAAAATAAGTTTGTTAGTAAAATGATTGTTAGTAAAATATAATGTCTTTGAAGTAATTGTTAATAAGTTAAATAACACCATTTTTATATATACATATTAATAATATTTTTTAATTAAATACTTTGCAAATTGAATACAAAAATGCTAATATTGTTTTATTTTCTAAAAAACTTACCTATATAATACTTTACATAATAAACCTTCTGTAATGTTACTATTATACTTAGTGCCTACTTTCTGCAACATCAACCTTCTTTTAAAAATTACTATTTTGTTTTTATATTTTATTTTTGAAATTTTACAAGACTTTATATCTAATTTGACTTTATTTTAGATTACAAAATTTAAAATTCTTGGATTTTACCTCTAGCTTGACTTAACTTATTGACTTCATTTGTGAGAGTTTAGTAGCTTATATGCTAGGTTATAAGATCCAAACTCTAAATATAAACTTAAAAACAATTAGTATTTTTAAAATTCATTTAATTTGTTTAGATATTAAAAATTTTTATTTAATTTTTTAATATTTTTTAAAATATTTTAATATTTTTAAAACTTTAAGTAAATATTTTTGAATAACTATCTAACCAAACTTGATAATTTTTTTATTTCAATTATTTCAATTATAAATTAAATTTAATTAGAAAGTTATTGAAAACCTTTACTAGAAGTTAAAAAAATTGATTTTCTTAAATGATTCTCGATCCTGATTGGTGTTCATGTTACAATTTTATGCATATTGGGTTTCTTCATGTATATTATGTACCCAAATTCTTTAATTATATAATACTATTAATAGGCTGGTGCCATAAAATGTCGCGGTAACGTGATCACCTACCACTTCCGACCTGATAATAAAAATTACGTATTACTGTATTATGTTGAAAAGATCATTAATCTACATTTCAAAGGCTAAAACGTAATACATAATTGTATTATCAGGTCGGAAGTGGTCGGTAATCGCGTTACCACGACATATTTATGGCACCACTAACCTACCTGGTACATTCAACTAGCAAAGCGATACGCACCATGTTGTAAATCTACATCAAACCTTCATTATTAAAGAAATAGTATTTTTCTGACAAGTTATGAACATATAATTAGAAAGACTTATGACAGGCAATAATAACATTAATATTCGTGGTTATGTATTTTGAAATGTATAAATACTTTTATTTACTAGTTTGGAACTTGTCTAAAAGCTTTAAATATACTGTATACAACAATAAAACCTTACACAATTAATTCAATTGGTTCTTATAACCATACCGGGTCAGTTTTTATGAGTTATCTATTATTGTATAAAAACTTTTAGGCTATATACTAATTGATTAATTTTATAATGGCCTAATTTATTATTAATGTTTTATATTTAATCGTTATTACTAGCACAAATCTCACGATTAATTTTAATCTTTTCAAGACATAACATCTCTTATATTTCAACATATACTTCAAAGATTTCTCAATGTTCATTCATGCATCATCCAGAACATTAGATCTTCTAGATTTTAAGAGATCAAACGTCCACCTCAATATCTGCCTTCAATGCTCTTTCAATATCCATCCAAGCTTCATCGAATCGTTTCGTATCTCTATAAATAGAACTCCGTTCATAAAGTGCAAAGGCATTCTTCGGATCATTAGTCAAAACAGTATTCAAATCTATCAATGCCCTATCATAATCATTTCTATTTCTGTATACAGAACCACGATAACATAATGCTAAAACATGCTGTTGAGTATAACATTTGGAAGAGGTAACTATCTCCTCTTTTTCTTCCCCATTATCGTCTAAAATGCCAACCAGATCACCTAAACTTTCCGACTCATCCGACAACGAATTATGTTTAATATTCAAAGAACCATTCAAATCTTGCAAAGATTCGTCATACTCTTTTTTCATCATATAAACACCCCCACGTATTGCAAGCAAATGGCATTTATCTCCAAATTTATTTATAGCATCTGTTAGTTCCTTGATTGCTTCATCATATTTATTCTGTTCTTGTAAAATTTCGGCCTTCAACGCTATAATTTCAATATTTTGTGCATCAAGTTGTAATATTTGATCAAAATCTAATTTAGCATCATCATATCTACATAATTTCATCAATATCTTTCCTCTAGTTTGAAGTGCCTGAATGTCATTTGGTTTAAGTTTCAGAATAGATGTCCAATCATCTAAACACCCTTGGTACTTTTTCAACCGTTCACATAAAGCTGCACGTTTCAATAAAATCTCAAGGTTATTCGGTATTAATTGTAAAACTCTATTCAAATCTATGCAAGCCTCTTGGTAATTTTCAAGTTTTTCATGTATAGCAGCTCGTAATTCAAATGACTTGGCATTTTCTTTAAATTCCAATGATTTATTTAAGTCTTCAAGAGCGTGCGTAAATTTCTCGAGTTTGAAAAAAGTTTCACCGCGATCATGGTATGCATCAGCAGAATTAGGTTTTATTTCTAATACTTTATCGAAATCTAAAATTGCTTCTTCATATTTACCTAGCATTGACAATGCTTGACCTCGATAACGCAATGCTGAAGAATGCATTTCCATTCCTAGTGACCAATCTAGATCTTTACATGCATTTGTATAATCATTCATTAACGTATATATTTTTCCTCTGTTTCGATATAATCGTGGTTTAGAGGAGTCTGTTTGAATTGCTATGTTAAGATCACATAACGCTAAGTTATATTCCTTTTGTGATCGATATACTTTGGCACGAGTTAATAAGGCAGGTACGTGATTTGAATTTATTGATAGAGCCTTATTAATGTCTGTCATAGCTTCAATAGATTCGCCCATTGCATAGTACACTGTACCGCGATCTGCAAGTGCATTAACATCATTTGGAGTTACTTGTAATGACAATGTTAATCCTTTCAATGCATCATCAAATCTAATATGAAATTAATGTTAAAAATAATCAAGGACACCAAAGCAATTGGATAATAATAATAATAATAATAAAATTACCTATTAAGTTGAGTGTAAATTTGATTACGCATAGTATTAGCTTCTTTATCTGATTTTTTAATTTCTATCGCTTGATCTAGATCGTATAATGCTTCTTGATATTGTCTCAAAGTCTTATATACAGAGGCTCGATGCCTAAAGACCGAGCCTTTTCTCTCTTTTTGTAATGCAGCAGAAAAGTCTGCCAAAGCTTCTTTAGACCTTGCCAATCCACGATATACTAACCCTCTGTTTTTAAGTATTGAAGCATTCAGTTCACCACCAAACTTTAAATATTTTTCAAGATCACTCAATGCATCTACATAACGTTTTTGTATTCTGAATATCTTTGATCGATTGACCAATAGAACAAGTAGATTAGGCTTTACTCGCAATGCAGTATTGAAATCATTTAATGCATTATCATAAC